GCTCTCAGTTCCTCCCTCAACTTCCTGTTTCCATTCTCGTAAGGTTAAAAGCTACTTGTTGACCATGCTTTTGGAAAGGTATCTTATTGCAATTCCTAGAACCTAGACAGAAACATAAGCAAAGGAATGGGTCATTCATCATCCAAACCTGTTTTGCCATTCAGTTAAATCATAATAGAACTGCATTGTGACTCAATCTAGCTACTTAGGCTCCCAATTTCTTTATGTTCTTAACAAAAAATTACTGATATTTTTTCAGTTCAATTTTTTTTTTAATGACCCAACCTCAGAATGTTTTGGGGATGAGAGTCTCAGTTTTCCATTGCTTTTATATGATGAAGTGCTTTGTAGCTTCTGCCCTGAATGGGCCTTGCTTTAGTTTTAAGGCTAATCCTGCTTATTCTAGGCTCTCCCACCAAAGGGTGGAATTTCTCTCTATCTTACCTCTCAAATCACCGAAATGCCTTATTTAGATCTTGCCTTAATCTTTTCTGTTGAAGAAATATGAACCTAGACCGTGCAACCTGTCCTCATCATTTCATCCCTTTCACCCCGGTATCAACCAGTCCGAGGTTGGTCTATCCTTCATGTGGTGCACTCTCCAGAAATGAATGCCGTCCTAACTAATAGAGTTTAAACAGAGCTCTGCATGACAGTGGTACAACGTCCACCCTTTGTATTCCAGTTATTTGGATCATGACCAATATTCAATCATCCTTCATTTTATTTTACCTTAGCTCAGTGTCAATTTTTATCTGATTTATATGCCTATAGAGCCCCCGGGACATATTACGATACCCTTCTCTTTCTCCAGACACCTACAGTGACTAATTAACCACTCAAGCCATTTATACCTGTTGCTTCAATATCCTTTAGTTAATTGATTTCAATACTCTGTTTTCACCTGACTTCTCATCCTGATCTCCTCATGCATAATTCATGCAAAATATAATTGACATTTTGTCTGCCTTGACAAAATGCTACGTACTCACCCTCTCACTCCAGCCCACCCCCTCACTCCATCCAACACCTCCTAAAGTGGGCTGTTTTAAATGCCTTCTGAGCAGAGGCTTGGTCTGATGGTAATTAATTATTCCTATTCGTCCCAATCTAATTGTCAATCAAAATGGGCATCCTTTCTTCCTGTTTTGAAGGATGCTAGGATAATGACAGCACTATTCCCAGACAGAATGAAATGATTTGATCACTCCAGGATGCCTGTGAGTGGTTGATAATGAGCTCACACGCACAATTCATGCAACGTAATTTGTATGTATCCATCCATCATTCATGACACTTTGCTGAAGGACTCACTTGCTTTTAACGGGATGAGTTGCTGCAGTTTGGGCCATGAATTCTGTTTGCTGCATTTTTCAGAAACTCTTCTAAAATAGATGGACCGTCTAGACAGTTTACTGGCTTGTACTATTTGCTGAGTAAGTAGATTTTATTTGAGCCGTGCCATAAATCTTGCCTCACCTCCAGCTCATTAGTTGACATACTGGTGTCAGTAGACACTCTGTTATTTTTTGGTGATTTCTACACAGCTAAAAAGCATCTAGCACAGCGATCTCGTTGGTTTCTGTCATTCATTGAAGATAATTACTTTTACAAATAAATTGAAGCATCAGGAACTCAAAAAAAAGGATTTCAAAAGTAGGCTCGAAGTGTCAGTAAGTAGACACTTAGTAGAACACATACTTCTGTCACACTGAGTTAACTCAATGTTATTACAACTGAACAGCCCTTCATTGAGGCCTTTCCCCCTCTGGTTGATGCTCTGCAATTGAGTTTTTTTTTTAAGTGCTTCCATCTCATTGTGGAGTTTCAAGGCAACTGACATCCAACAACCTACTTGGAAAGTTCTGCTGGCAGGTTGACAGTTTAACAAATTGCAATGAAGCAGCTAGACAATCTGAAACATTCCCAATTAATCAGCATTTTACATCAAATAACCCACAACATTCGAAAAGAAAAAGGCATTGATCCCATCTCCCAACATCGAAATTCCAAGATCTGAACCTGCACCTTCATCAAAAACTAATCCGTTCTCCCTACCATTTTAGTATGTGAAACATCATTGAAATCTGTCCATTAGGAACAGTAATCCATTCAATCCTTTCAGCCTGCTTCACCATTCACTAATTAATTTGTGCGATGTTGCTTAGAGACAAAGAGATGAAAATATTATCTTTGCCTTTCGTGGTGGAGGGCAGAAAGCAGCAGAGAGGCTGTATGAGTTAAAAAATACCCCGAAAATGATAGTAGCGCAAACCAATTTTTTTATATTTAGTTAAAATCTCCTCAATTAGGTTGGCTGTGGTCTTTTATAATACTTTCCGAACAAAAGTTAAACTTGAATAATCAAGTTTCATCATCCTCAGTGTTTTCTGTTTTGTCACACGTGAACTAGAGCAACTAGAGATTAAAGAAGTGTAAGTGTTTTAGACATGGAGATCGAATTGGCTGGTTTGTGATGCAGAATGTCACCAACAGCACAGGTCCAATTCCCCAGCTGCAGTTACCATGAAGGGCTCTTTTTCACAACCACTGACCTTGCCTAAGGCATGGTGACCCTCAGGTTAAACACCATCAGTTGTCTCTCTCTCTAATGACAAAGGTCTCATAAGACTGTGGTGGCTTTGCTTTTGTTTGTGCCCTGTGTGTCACAGAAAACCGTGCTGAATTTCTTATTGTTTGTGATATTCGTAAATGATGTAGATGAGAATGTGGGGGAATGATAAGTAGGTTTGCAGATGACACAAAGATTGTCCAGGTGGTGGACAGTGAGGTGGAAGATATTAGATTACAGGAGGATATAAATGGATTGTTCAGATCGGCAGATCAGTGGCAAATGGAATTTAATCCTGAGCAATGTGAGGTGAGGCACTTTGGAAGAAGGAACAAAACAAGGGAATACTCAATGAATGGCAAGACCCTAGGAAGCCCAGAGGGATCTTGGGGTGTTTGTCCACAGATCCCTGAAGGTAGCAGGACAGGTTAATAGGGTAGTTAAGAAGGCAAATGGGACATCCGCCTTTATCAGTTGTGACACAGATTAAGAATGCAGGGAGATTATGTTGGAGCTGTACAGAACTTTGGTTAGGCCATAGCTGGAACACCGTGTGTAGTTCTGGTCACCACACTATAGGAAGGATGTGATTGTGCTGGAGGAATTGCAGCGGTCATTCACCAGGATGTTTTTGGGATGGAGCATTTCAGCTTTGAAGAGAGGCTGGATAAGATCATGTTGTTTTCTTTGGAGTAGAGAAGGTTGAGGGGGCACCTGAGGGAGGTGTATAAGCTTATGACTGGAATAGACGGAGTGAACAGAGAGCAGCTATTCCCTTCAGGGTCACTAACAAGAGGGCATAATTTTAAGTGAAAGGCAAAAGGTTAAGAGGGGATTTAAGGATAGCAACCTTTCACTCAGAGGATGGGGTCTGGAATGCATTGCCTGGGAGGTTAGTTGAGGTGGGAAGCCTCACAACCTTTAAAACGTACACGGATGTGCATTTGTACTGCCATAATATTCAAGGATATGTGCCTAATGCAGGAAGGTGGGATTAGTGTAAGAAATAGTGTAACTTTGTCAATACAGACTCAATGGGCCAAGTGTCTCTTCTATATCATATAAATCTATGATACTGACTCACAGAACAATGGAAACAATCTATCACTATTTAACTTGATCATAACCCTTCATGGCTTTGAAGACCTCAATTTTTTAGAACAACTGAAAATGAGTAACATTTTATGGCTGCGATCCCACATTCTGACAATAACGGTAACCAGAGTGAAAACAATGAAAAACGTAGCTTCGACTCTTCACATTCCAAAGTCATAAAGCGTGAAACGTTAGAGGAATTGGAACTGAGCACCTACAAGATTTTTACTGGGGTTAAAACCCCTTCGATGTAAGATGAGAACAATGGACAGATAGTAGCATTCTCGCATCGAAATGTGAGAATTGTGTGTTCAAGCTGCACTAACACGTAATCTCGGCTGGTGTTTCTGAGGAGTGCAATACTGACAGCATTGCTGGAGGGGCTGTCTTTCAGATGAGACTGAGCCCCATCTACCCATTCTGTTGGACATGTAAGACCCCATGACACTCTTTGGAAAAAGAACAATCATGCTCCCCCCCATCTAGTGTCCCGGCCAATATTTACCCCTCAATCTTCATCACTAAAATCAGATTTAGTTGTTAGTCCTTGCTACTTATATAGCTTTGCTGTGTGCAAATTGGTCGCTTAATCCCGACACTACCTCAATGCTTATGCTTCAAAAATAACTTTATTTGCTTTGGGACATCCTGAAGTGAAGATAGGAGCCACAGAAACTCGATTCCTTCCTTCTTTGTAAAGGAAAGTTGACATTGTGAACTGAGACAGGAAAGCTGATATTTCAAGTCTTTGTATTCTAATAGTGATATCAATTAGAAGAGCCCTCCATTTATAACAATATAAAGAAATTAGCCCTGAAATTTCCCAGTAGCTGTTCTACTTGTCTTATAATAGAAATCGTGAGAGATAATTACAGACCTGACATAGACCAGAATTACTGCATTACGACCTTCACTGAACTTCACAGCCAGAATGTTTTAGAAGCAGAATTTCACTTTCTTCGTTGTGTGCAGTTGGTGCAATTTGAAGACATTGTTTTAAAGGGTTTAAGGTGAGAGGGAAAGATTTAAAAGGGACCTAAGGAGCAACTTTTTCACACAGAGGGTGGTGCATGAATGGAATGAGCTGCCAGAGGAAGTGGTGGAGGCTGATACAACTACAACATTTAAAAGGCATCTGGTTGGGTACATGAATAAGAAGGATTCAGAAGGATATGGGCCAAATGCTGGCAAATGGAATTAGATTAATTAAGGATATCTGGTTGGCACGGATGAGTTGGTCCGAAGGGTCTGTTTCTGTGCTGTACATCTCTAAGTAAAGACCGATCCCAGGGATGAATACAGTCCTCACCATGTTGTTTGTGTTTTCTTACAGGTCTACTTGTCCTATGTCTACCCAAATGACTTCACCAGGCTCACTCACATGGAAACAGAGAACAAGTGTTTCTACCGGGAGAGCCCTTTGTATTTGGAAAAGTAAGAACCTATGTGTGCAGTTTAAAAAACAGAACATCACAGGCATTAGATTGAAACAACAGTGTAACAGGAAAGCATACATTTCTTATAAGGCATTGAATAGGAAGAATTATTTGGGTTTGAGACAAAGTTGAGGGTTAATCCACTGAACTGGAATTTATGTTGTTAGCAACCCCAATCTACTTTGCTTTAAATGCATAACATCTGCTGCCATTGCTGCTTTTGCGCTGCACCTTTTAATAAAGTCATAAAGGGCCTTATAATTTGAGTTGCCAACTATCACCTTTGCGACTAGACTTTGGTATCTAATTGGACTGTGAATAAATTCCAAAATATAACGTAGATGTAACTTTGACTTCACAGCCTGAGTTTTTTTCACTTCTTTGGCCAGCTCCTGAGAAACCCCACCCCTCCCCACCCCACCCCTCCATCTCCAAGGATGCCTCCCGACCAGTCTGAAAAGACTGAAGCTGCACTGTGACCTTTTAGCCACATTCCCTTCCATTCCCAAAGAACCCTTGATGCCTGGTTGAAACAATGGTCAATAGAATAAGTATGGTAGAAGTTATGGTTACTTCATTTGCATGTTTCTTTTGCAACAGAACTGACCCTCAGAAACTGGCAGGAAGGCTGGGATGCCATAGGTCACATTCCTGATCACATTCCTTAGTACCTATCTGATCCTATTCCTGACAGCCAATGAGACATTGGAGTATACTAAATGCATAAAGTATATTTTAGAGCTCACATCAAACAATTGTCTGAATAACATAACATCAAAGTCTCCTCTTTACTTAAAATCCTGCAGCTAAAAATGCAAACAAGGGCACTCAGAAACTCATAACATAATTAAACATTTCTGCAAATTAAAATAGTGAATATTAAATTTTATAATCAGCTATAAATGTGTAAAATTTCTACTTGGGGACAGTGCGATGATTAAATTTGTTTGCTCATCTCTTGTTTTCTCACTGTTCTGTGACCTCCATTACATTCTGATCAATAATGTTCAGATAGCTAATTCGATTATGGATGTATGTATTTATTTTTTGAAATACTGTGGATGAATTTGTTTACTGTACACAAATATATTTCCTGTATTCACTGTCATTCTCCCAACAATATGATAACAGCTCTGTATTGAAAAAATGACAGATTCTTGAGTATAAATGAAGCTCTGTAGGTATGTTGTAGGAGAGATAGAAGAGAGCGTAAATTGAAATATTTCTTCCTTTCTAAACTTCCTTCATAATTATCCATCCTATAGCAGTTACATTGGTACTTTTGAGATCAGTCCCTTAAATATATTTCTCTCCATCATTGACTATACATCACAAGCTGCTGAAGCTTTGTAACTGTCAACTACACTTTGATTGGAAACTTCTGTCCTTCCTTTCCCAATAGATTTGGATTTTACAAGTACATGAAGATGGATGAAGAGGAAGAAGACAAGCCATTCTTGTTTGATAATCCAGAGGGTAAGAATACCAGCCAGCCAGTGATTTCTGGCTTATTTAGAACTGAATAGAATGTATGGCGCAGAAACAGGTCTTTCAGTCCAAAAGGTCAATGCTGATATTTATGCTGCATGTGAGTCTTCTCCCACTTGAATTTCAATCCACAAAGTTTTGTATCTCTTTCTTCATCAATGTACTTCTCAATTTGACATCAAAGTGGATACAAGGAATACTGAATGTGCTTCTTTGGTCTGCCCTTGAACAGAGAGAAATTTTGAAATTATTGATGTGTGTCCACTGTTCGCATCTTATATCGACATCATTTGCGCCCGACTGTACACAGCCCAGGCCAAATGCAAAACAGAAGTCTCTCTGTAATACCCTAACATTAATTCAGATGTAAAGTCCAAAGGCTTTCACTAGAGAGACATCTGCAAATCCCAACGCAGTCATCAGTGAACAACCTCAAAATAACATCTCAGGTGACACAGCTGGTTGAGGTAAGTGGTTGTAAAGACAAGCGGGATCTCAGATTCATGAACAGACATCACAAGTAATTAAAAGCAAGGCAGTTATGTTGAATACGAACGGAATTATAGATGTACTTCAGCTGAAGTATTGTGTCCAATTCTGTGCACTGTGGAATTGAGAGGGTGCCTGAAAGATTTATGAAAATGATGAGGACTTGCTCTACATGGATAGATTGGAGAAGGTGGGAAGGTTGAGAGGAAATTTAAAGTCCTGAGAACTCTAGACAAAGTAGATAGGTAGGTACTATTGCAATTAGAGGAAAGATGTGAACCAGAGCATACTGAATTAAAATAATTGACAAAATAGCCATCAGCAACATGGGGAAAATTTATTTTATGTAGGATCTGACATTGTACTGGGGGCAGGTTCATTTGCAGCTTTGGAAAAAGACTTAGATAACTACCTGAGAGTGAAAAACTACAAAGAAAAGGGAGAGAGATATCGGACTGGATGAGTTGCTTCTTCTGTGCTTTAGCTGTTGTCTTATTTGATGAACAAATGGAAAGTATTTCATACCGGGTCATTAAAAATAATAACTCCAAGCTCTACCAGAAAGGAAAAGTTTAAAAAAAAATTTTTAAAGTAAACAATGAAGGGCAAATTGGCTTTGTTGTGATACAATACCCTCACCAATGTTTATTACCAAGCACTTTATAAGCCAGCTAACACTTACTTGATATCCTTGTGAGTCAGTATCTAAAACTTATAATGGTTTAACATATTCACAGAACACATGTAATTTCAAAGTGCTGTCTCATTCAAAGAACTTTTCTTATTCTGTCAGTGAATCAGCTATAGAAATGGGCAAGAAAGAAACGGCTGAATTATTTCCCATCAACACCCATCATCAGGGTCCCAAAACCCATGGTAAAATCTCGCCCAATTTTTTGGTGTACAACTAGACGCAAAAGTGCTGCAAGATTTAAAATTTTAAAAAGAGAAGTGCCACCAAGTCAGACACCATGCCATCACTGATTACAGCACGATAGAAATTCCAGAGCCAAAATAATATGGGTTTGCAGCCACTTCTGCAATAGTTGATGAAGATCTAGTGGATGCCTGTGCAAATCCTGAAAGGCTGAACATGCATTGATGTGCCGGAGCAATCACTGTGACTGGGGTTATTTAAAAGGCCAGCTATCCAAATGCAAGCAAGGTGCCCTGTCCTTAATTCTGCTCTTGCAAAGTTGGGGTGGAAGTCATGTAGATTGCTTTCAGCGGTTTGTTGATGCATTTGTGCATCCATTCAGGAAGGAGAGAGGGGTTTTTTGCACGCAGTCTGCAAGGCATTTGGGAGTTGTTGATGCAGCCTCAGGGGCCCTAAGATGACCAACTAATGCTGAAATACCTCCACAGAGACTGGTATCCTGTCACCAAGTGACCCTTTATTTACACGTGGAGAGCCTTTAACACTGATCCAGCTCCCTCAGAGCCAGCTGTCAGAGTGAACAGAACCTCTGACACAAGGAGTAAGAGCTGGATGAACCCAGCAGGCCAGGCAGCATCAGAGGAGCAGGAAAGCTGACGTTTCAGGTCTGGACCCTTCCTGCTCTTCTGATGCTGCCTGGCCTGCTATGTTCATCCACCTCTACACCTTATTATCTCAGACTCCAGCATTGGCAGTGCCTACTATCTCAGAACCTCTGACACTCCTATTCATGTCTGTCAGCCAGGGCTCTCTGATTGGACCAGATTAACAGCCCCAATCAGGGAACTCAGATTCAGTGAGGTCCACCTGGCTAACCTCATGACAAACACTACAGCAGCAGAGGGGAATTGCTCTGCAAATTGGACAGAGGAGGAGCACCCGCCACAGAAGCCTCTACTCACCACAACTTCCATGAAAGAACTCCTCATTCTTCAGGCTGAGTTGGGAGCAATGCCCAAGGGGACTCGGATTCACCGAGGTGAATGTGCCCCCCCCCCTCTTCTTCAACACATGCTGCAGCCTCATACCAGGCCTAGAGTGGCACCAACAGTAGCTGCAAATGTCACAGTGGCATTACATCTCACTGCAACCAGATCTTGCAAACAGAAGTGGGCAACATTTCCGTCTGTTTCACCTATTCATTTTTCCAGGAGCCAAGAGACATAATATGGTAAATTCACTTGCCCATTGCCGATTGTGCAGCGAACCATTGATTACATGGACCTGCTTCTTTGGGTAGAGGTATGGAAACTTCAAGGGCTATCACTCCACCAATATATGGTTGGTATGCAGGCATGCACTGTATACCACATCAGTGAGTAAATGCTCTCACAGTGGCAACTGTAATATCCTCATTCTGAGGAAGTCTGCAGTTCTCATTCTCATGGCTTCTCCGTGAACAAGTTGCTTGAGGATGAATGATACACCCCCTCCCCAGCCTTCCACCCCTAACACACTGTGCATTTGCTCATGTTTCCCCTCTACCAGCCAACAGCAACGGGCAAAACCGAGAGCCATCAGAACAACGCAATGCAGCTGACTGGCGTGCTGCTGAGGAGTTTCTGGTGGCAGGATGACTCCGAGGGAGCCCTGCATTACGTGTCTGGCAATGTGTCCAAGAGTCTGGTAAGCTGCTGCATTCTCCATGCCATCGGCATCAGGAAGGGGCAGCCATTACCACAGGACCGTGGACGTAACCTCAGGAGAAAGAAAACGAAGTGGCTGCACGTGCTCTGTTCTGTCGTCTAAGAGCTCTTGCCCAAACTCCACTTTCCATAGAACAACACTCTCATCATTCCCCTATTCTCCCCGTCACCATTAATCTGGGACTCTCCATTACAGGGTCCGCTTGGCCGAGATCCTACAATGAAGGCAAACTCTCTACAACATCCTTATCCAAAAACATGTTCATTTGTCCAAATGAAGTGAACAATTCTCCCTTGACTGTTTTGTGAGTAACCTTGCCTGTCCTCGTGCTCTTAAGCAGCACTCCCTCTGCATGGCCACTGACTTTCACTGAGATGTCCATGCAGGAGCCTTCGACCAGCTTGGGGTATTGAGGACTTCAACTCGGTAGATAAGCAGTAAGCAGGACAGCATCTGCAGCCTGGGCTGACTGGTTGACAGAGAAAGCTGCCATCCTGTGAAAGGGCTGCAGGTGGGTGTTCCACTTCAACAGTGGCAGGAGTCTGAGTGTGGGTGACAGCTAGGATGGAACCTGTGGCCCCAGTCTGCACTTCTGCTGCAGAGGTGACTCACTGGGCAGCTTCTGCTTGCGCTACACCATAAGCTGAGGCAGAAGCCACCAGCTACTGCACTGCCCAGGTCTATATGGAGTTGGCCATTTACTTCTTGGCAGCTCAGAGGTCAGCACTGCTGCCTCGTAGCGCCAGGGACCCAGGTGACTGTCTTTCTGTGTGGTGTTTGCACATTCTCCCCGTGACTGTGTGGCTTTCTCCGGTTTCCCGCCACTGTCCAAAGATGTGCAGGTTAGGGTGGATTGGCCATGCTAAATTGCCCCATAGTGTCCAGGGATGTGCAGGTAAAGGGAAATGCAGGGTAACAGGGATAGGGTAGGGGGTTGGGTCTGGGTGGATTGTTCTTTGGAGGGCCAGTGTGGACTCAGTGGACTGAATGGCCTGCTTCCACAATGTAAGGAATCTGTAAAATTCTACAAACTTCTGTGCAGGAAAATTGAGCTCCAAATTCTGACGATTCCCTGTGCCACAGAGGAACCAGATTCCTCCATTCTCCTTAATACTGACAGAAAGCAGCCTAGTATATATCTGCTTCTGCCTCCAATCTCTCAGTAGGCATCCTCCACAAACATTTTCCCATAGGTCATCCATCGGATTCCTCGTATAGGCTCCCCTGCAGTCAAACCTGTCCCCATATCCCACTCCCTGGTGAGCTGACATGCTCACTGTCCTTTCCCCACAGGCCTGGTGACCCAGCATGTGCAGATCCGGTCTCTGCTCAAGTTTCTAAAGGGTTCAGCAATACCGCTGTCTGAACTGGGAGCTGCAAGCATCAGGTCACGTGACACTGGGCATTCATCATTTGGGTGCGGCCACTCTCTGTCTTCCTCCTACAGTTGCAGACGAAACAGTTTGTGTAAACCTGAAAACAGAAGATCAGAAGGGAAGCATTGAATTGAGGGATGCGGGGAGGAGTCTAAGGCACGGCCTACATCTTGCTCATCATGTCAGGTAGCAGACCGAGTGTGAGCTGGGAACTGAGAGTCACACCACAAGGCCGTAACTTATAATGGGTTATATCAATGATGCTGGATGATATGGGTGTTGTCACAGCACAGCTGCTTTGCAGAGAAACTTCTGTCCTATCAGGCTGATGGAATCAAGAAGTTCCTGGCCTCCACCTACTGCACGTTTGTTCTTTTCCATTGTGTGACACCTCGCCTTGTGAGTGAGAGGCAGAGTGTCAGTGACTGTGTAGCAGTATGGTATTCGGGTGAGGTATCTGCCAGTGGTATGTGGAGGCAGTGAAAGGTGGCTGCAAGGTGAGAGAGTAGAGTACCTGAAACTATCGGGTGAGCCCTGAGTGCTTCGAGTTGCTGATAAATAAGAGATGGGGTTGATGGTGAATGAAACAGACTGAGGGGGAAGTGGTGGGGAAAATTTCAGATTCCCTTTGAAGATGTATTCACTGGCTATGGGGAGGTCATTAAATTTCTACCAGCCTTGCAGCTTAATCCTCATGTCTCTCCACCTGGGGTTGATCTCCTTCAGCACCTGTTCCCATTCACTTTGAAACGTGTTCCCTTTATGGATTTCTGGCTTCCTCCAAGAACGTGACCTCTCTCCTTCCATCACCCTCCATGACTGAAGCCATCAAAATTATATCCAAAAACCCAGGTCATGTTCTGAGAGATCCAGGTTTGCATCCCACCATGGCAGAATTCAACAAACATCTGGAATTAAGAGTCTAAGGATGACCATGAATCTATTGTCGATTGTTGGAGAAACCCATCTGGTTCACTAGTGTTCTTTAGGGAAGGAAACTGCCATCCTTACCTGGGTCTGGCTTCCATGTGACTCCAGGCCCACAGCAATGTGGTTGACGCTTACCTACCCTCTGGACAATTAGAGATGGGAAATAAATGCTGACCTAGCCAGTGATGCCCTCATCCTGTGAATGAGGAAACAAAAAACTTGGGATCCCCCTCGTTCCCTCTCTCCTCCTTCTTCCTGCTGTTCCATTAACTCTTTTATTTCCAGCTGTAGCACTGGCTTTCTTTCAGTGCAGCATCCCTTTAAAGAGAAGAAGTGCCTTTTAGAGCTGAGGACTTGCTAGACTGTGTCTTTGAACACTGTTAGGCCTCGTGTTGAGGGTACAGCCAACCCATAGCCCAGGCTGTCCTGAGCTACTCGAATAAACGAAACAAATTAGGAGACAGCGTAGTTGCAACTCATGACTTGGCTGTCTGAAAATGGATGTAAATGTAATTTTTAATCCAGTCCTTTTATCTTGTGTTACTACTCTGTTACTTGCAAAGAGTAATTTTCTCTTTATTCCTGTCTCCTCATTAATTTGGACTCCACAGATTTCCCAGAAGAGTCGGAAGGCGTAGACACTGAATCCATACTAAGCAATAGTCAGGTAACATGGGGCAAGAGTCATGTGAAAGAGCATGAAAATGGCAGCCTGGCTCAGGACCAAGTGGTTGCAGAGAGGAAACCTCCGCCATCAGTGGCAGACAACAGGAATGACCTTGATGATGACCCATTCAACCACGGGAAAAGGTCAGCGTTCAGAGAACACCACGTTGTGAAATTGCAAAAGAAGGCCTTAGATCCAATTCCTCAGGGAGATAATATGGCCCCATCTGCTGCCTACGAGAGTCAGGAAATGGGCATCTTTCACAAGCTAAACAGCAGAAGTAGCAGGTCCCTAACCTGGGCTAAGCTCATCCCGGAAGATTTGAGTAAAAAGCCGGCCAACCAGTCAGCTCTATCCAAGCTGGGGAAAGGGAGCATGTTCAACTTGCAGCCCCAGATTTCTATCCCCTTAATCGCCAGCAAAACCAAGCAGTTTTTGAGTAACTCGGCTCACGCTGGGTTCCACAAAAAAAGACTCGGTGAGCCCAAGAAGCTGCAGAACAAAATCTACGTGACAAGGCCCCAGGAGAAAAAGAAAAGGACGCTGCAGGCTGAGAAGACCAAGGAGTTGTTCCCTATAATGAACGTGCTTACCAGCACAAAGACTGTGGGACTGCCAGACACAGGTCTGGAGAGGAATGTGGCTTCTAATGCAAGGGGGAAGAAAACAACACCGTACCTCAGGAATAAAATCTTTTGGTTAAATAGCAACACTTCACAGGAGGAGGGGAAAGTGCAAGATGCCAACAATGGCGCACAACATGGTTCAACCACCCAAAAGGCGAAAATAAACTGGAAGGGACTGCAAGAAAATCTGGAGCAGTATCGGGGTGACAGGAACAGATACATCATTACCCCAACGCCCCAAATTCACCTTCTAAGCGAGGAGGTCTTGGGCAAGGAAGAAGCCCCAGTTCACAATGAAGGGAAGGATCCTAAATCAATGGGCATTGCTGCTGAAGAGACACCCTACTGGAAGACTGACGACCTGAGTGAATCCCAGCAAACATACACCGACCAGTTTGAGGTGACTGATGACGGACTGTCAGATTACAGCTATGAGGATCCTGAGCCACAGAGAGGTTGGATAGAGGAGACCATCAACTGGCAACGGACATTCAGCGTTAGCTCCATGGATTTTGAGCTCCTGCGGTCAGACTGGAATGACCTCCGGTGCAATGTTTCAGGCAACCTGCAACTAAGCGAGAGCGAGGTGGTGGATGTTCTTGCACAGTACATGGAGAAGCTGAATGAGAAAAACGGAGGGTAAATATTTTCAGACTATTCATATGTACATCTTACGCTTTGGACGGTCGTTCTTTCTTTCTCTGGTCTCTTTTAAAGATTGTCAAATGATCATACTGGTTTTCTTGCTGAAAATGTACCCTAATCCTGATGAATTTTCTTTTCCTGTCTTTCTCTGATCTCCAAGTGCAGCGAGGCAAATGATCTAACTGTTGAGGGAAATTGTGTGCCATGGATTAATGTTCTAGGAACTGGAATTGGTATTACTTACAAGCCTAAGCAATGAAAGACCATTTTTGCAATTTACTGTTGGGCTGGATGGGTGATTGTAGGAGTGGAATGGATCTACACTGGGCTTAGACTGCAACAGGGTGACACAACTGAGCATTTGTCTATGAATTCCCCAATTCCATGAGTACTTGTCCCCTTCCCAACATTCTTCCTCCAACCTCTGTCACCAAGGAATACACCATCCTGTCCTAGAATACCAGTGAAATATGTGCTGGAAGTATAATGGCATTAAGGAGAGTGGAGAGAAAGAGGGGGAAACGCTCCAGGAAAACATACTCTCATGTGTTTGTGCTGGATTTACATTTCAGCCGCAGGGTTCGAAAGGTCAGTTCCTTTGTAGGAGGTTCAATTAATTTTTTATGTTCAAACTTCATTTGAATGCAACTTGGCAACTGGGAGAATGGCATATCAACTAATGAGCTAAGCACTTAAAGGTCTCCTTTAACTACCATATACACTGTTCAAAGGCAGTCAGTGAAAAACTTTGGTGGTCACATGGTCCAGTTGGTAGCACTCCTGTCTCTGAGCCACAAGGCTCTGTGTTCAAGTTCCAATACAGGACTTGAAGGTGATCTCAGAAGGAACAGTCAGGATGTGGCCTAGTCGGTTGCGAATCCTTCCAATATTCCAAGTTATTCTCCAAACAGAAAAAGACTGTTAAGAGTAGAGAGCAATCCATTGATGCAAGAGGCAAGATGGCATTGCCTGGATCCCTCCCCACCACACATGCCACTGCCCATTTGCAGGTCCTCATAAAGCAAGTAGAAACATGATGGTTATGCTTTACCTCCTGTCATCCAATAGCATGTTTGTTAGTCACTAATGGCAAGTCTCCTGCTAAGCAGGTCAATGCCAGGATTGTTATTCCAAGGACAAAGATGCACCGCAAGAACTTAAATAAACAACAATCCTCATGAACACTTCGGATAGCTAACCCCTCTGGGTTGTCCCAGAATCTTCAGAATTTAAAGATTAATGTTACAAGAAGCTTGGAAGGAACACAAAAAGAAAGTGTATATTTTTTCAATCACAATGAATACTCTTTATTTTCAGTTACTAAAATATTGACCACCGTTGAAAAACGCTGATTGAAATGATGCGGTCATTGGAGGCATGTGATGATCCCTCTGGGAATCAATTCAGCCAAAGTTGGCAACAACCAACTGTTATGTGGAGGCATCATTCCACAACTCTCTCATTTCCTTTACAGCTCTACGGTGGCACATTTTCATTACGTCAATACCAATCCTTCCATTCTGCTAATTCCAAAATCTTTTCTCCAATACAACAGGACAGTAAACATCTCCACCTCTTCACACTCTCACAAAGAATCAGTTGCTATCTTTAACGCAATGTTTCCCTCTTTCTCTCATCATATGCACTATATCAAGTTGCCTCAAAAATACTTGCAAAGCCCTTCAGCAAGTCACCCCATTCACCATTTTCACTGTCTAGGCGAGAGAAGCTGACACGAAACGAAGGGGAAGTGTAAGAACACGAAATTCTGCCAAGTTACAAACTCTGATAACCAATAGATGATGTCACCGGCAGAGAGGGGACACATGGATGAAAGTCACATACAGGAGAGTGAGCATCTTCCATTTTCTTTTACACTTCCTGCCAAATTCTTTCAATCACAGACAGAGTAAACCCCACGGACCCATGCATTAGTGCCAGACTTCTCACCTGTCCAGTTTTTGGGAGGGTTTGCAAACAAGGACTTTCTGCTATACCTACATGTATCATCAAACATTATCATAACCGCTTTTTATCTTAGAAACCTTCTCATTTCCAGATGGGTCCTTCTTCCTGAAGAGGCATCTTTTTTACATCTTTCCATTCACATTACTTCTCTCTTGTTATTCATCTTCACAGAACTACACTGCCTAAAAATTATGATTTCTTTTTCCATTGAAGTCTAGCTCTGTTTCTTCATTAGATTTCTTTAACATTTGCCTGTATGCAGCTGGCACTAACTAACTCGTATGAATCAGGAACAGTAGGTTTTCACTATGTCGTATGCATTAGACTGTAGGTTTGAAAGAGACAAGTGGACTTGGAATCATACAGGTCTATAGCACAGAAAAAGGCTCTTCAGCCCATCGGGTCTGTGCAGACCAAAAAAAAACCTAACTGCTCTAATCCTATTTTCCAGCATTTGGCCCATTGACTTTTATGCATTGGCATCGCAAGTGTACCTATAAATACTTCTTCAATATTATGAAGGTTTCTGTCTCTACCACTCTTGCAGGTAGTAAGTTCCAGATTCCCATCACCCTCTGAAAAACTTTTCCTCACATACCCTCTAAACCTCCTGCCCCTTCCCTTAAATCTGTGCCCTCTGGTCATTGATCCATCTGCCAAAGGGAAAATTTCCTTTCGGTCTACCCTATCTATGCCCCTCATAATTTTATGCATCTCAATCCTGTCCCCAGTCAGTCTCCTCTGCTCCAAGGGAAACAACTCCAGTCTGTCCAATCTCTGTTCATAACTGAAACTTTCCAACTCAGGCAACATCCTGGTAAATCTACTCCCGTCCCCCCGCCACCCCCGCCACCCCCCCCCCACCACACCCACCCCATGCAGTCACAGCCCTCCTATAATGTAGATTCCAGAACTGCACACAATACTCTAGCAGCGGCCTAACCAACTTTTAGACAGTTCCAACATCACGTCCCTGCTCTTAAACTCTATTCCTTGGCTAATAAAGACAAATAACCCATATGCCTTCTTAATGACTTTATCCACCCGTCTTGCTTCCTTAAGGGACTGGTGTACATGCACACAAGATCCTTCTGATCAATGGGCTCCAAAATGACAGTGATGCAAAATGCATTTCAACTCCTTCCACACTGAATTTAGGCACTAATGGAATGTCTTTCAATGAATTTCAGATGGCACAGTGGCTCAGTGGTTAGCACTGCTGCCTCACAGCACCAGGGACCTGGGTTCGATTCCAGCTTCGGGTGACTGCCAGTGTGGAGTTTCACGTTCTTCTTGTGTCTGTGTGGGTTTGCTCTGGTTTCCTCCCACAGTCCAAAGATGTGCAGGCTAGGTGGATTGGCCATGCTAAATTGCCCATAATGTTCAGGGATGTGTAGGTTAGCCATGGGAAATGCAGAGTTACAGGGATAGGGTAGGGGGGCTGAGCCTGGGTGGGTTGAACTTTGGAGAGTTGGTGTGGACTTGTTGGGCTGAACGGCCTTGTTTCCATGCTGTGGGGATTCTAACGATAGTCTATGAAATGAAAACAAAAAGTTAACTCTGAGTCATCATCCAGTATTCCTGTCCATGAAATCTAAGCATCTGTCCATTACATTGAAATATTCTTTGTAATCTTCCTCATTTTAGAGTCTCCTTTTCTTTTTCTCCTTCTCTTTGGAACTCAAAAGTCTTTTCTCGAGAGTAAAACCAACAATTGCGTATGCTGGAAATCTAAAACAAAAACAGAAATTGCTGGAGAGGCTCAGCAGATCTAGCAGCATCTGTGGAGGGAAAGCAGAGTCAACTTTTTGAGTCCAGTGACCGTCTTTCAGCTCGGAAAAGGTGGTATGTATACGCTGAGGACAGGGGGTGAGGGGTAAAGGTGTGAGAGCCACGGAAGAAGATGGAGTCCAGCATGAGAGAAAGACAGTTGGGCCAAACAAAGGGATGAATATGGTAAACCAGAGAAGGAGAAATGCTGTTTGTTAGGATCATGGTTGGCTGTGCTGAAAACAGCCCATGTGATATCAAGATCTGGGGCATGAGGTGGGCGTTGGACTTGGAAAGCCATGGAAGAAGGTGTTGATATCCCTAAAACCCTTTTCATTTTCCGATCAATATTGATGTTAATGGTGAGCAATTTGGAGAAGATGGCTTCAGTAGACGTCATGAAGCATGGATTGACCTCAATGGAAAGAAAATCAGAATAGAAGTAAAACAGAGATTTAGAGTCATACAGCACGGAAACAGACCCTTCAGCCCAACCCTCCTTATACCTCAAACCCTTCATTCCCGGCAACATCCTTGAAAATCTCTTCTGAACCTCCTCCAGCTTAATGACATCCTTCCTATAACAGGGAGACCAGAACCTGATGCAGTACTCCAGAAGAGGCCTCACCAATGCCCTGTGCAACTTCAACATGTCCTCCCAACTCCTGTACTCAAAGGTCTGAGCAATGAAAGCAAGCATGCTAACTGCCTTCTTCATATATGTAATATACATTATATATTTTTATATACAATTAATATATAACACTTTGACTTGATATGGAAACACGTATTATACACTATCACTATATTGAAGTGACTCCCACTGTTTCCCATTCTGACTTCCTTTTCCAGAGCCTTAAAACTATACCAATCCTAACCTCCTTCAACTTTTGCCTGCTTTCAATGTATTATCTGCCACTTGTTGACACATTTAATTACCTGTCTGGCTTTTGTCTATCACATAGGCCTTGACGTTACACTTGGGTTTCTTATTTAAAGAGAGCTGCTACGCATACAGGAAAATTATAAAGAGAACATTTCGCTTTATTACTTTTAAGTCTGTTCCATTGAAAGACCTTGGTCACTAGTCGGTAGCTAAATGGATGTAAATATTTTGATAAAGTTGGAGAGTTCATTTGAAATTAAAGATGGAATTGCATTAAATTTATCGTGCAGTATCAGGCCATTCAGCCCTACTGGTTGATACTGCCACATTTACGCTGCACTCAAGACTCACCAACCCGACTTCACCTAACCCTATCAGCATGCCTTTCCCATCTTCACTTTGTCACATACTTGTACAACTTGCCCTTAACTGCATCTGTGCTACTTACTTCAGCATCGAATCAAGTTCCACATTCTGACCACTTTCCAAGTAAAACCAATTCTCCTGGAGAACCCATTGGAATCACTGATGACCATTTTATAATTGCAAGCCCTGATTTGTAAGCCACATTTTCTTCGCAGCTCTTGTGTCATGTGGTCTTCCTTCCTCTTTCAACAGAGTCTATACACTTCTGCGGATCGTTAATGTGGAGAAGCGGAGGGATTCAGCTCGTGGTAACAGATACCTCATTGAACTGGAGCTGATGGAGAAGGGGAGAAAAGTGGTCCGTTTGACAGATTACATCTACCTCTTGCTGCACAGAACCAAACAAGATGATGGAATTGAAGCGACCATGCAGTTGCAAGATAAGGAACCCACTCAGCTGAATGTTCCATACCACAAGTCTCTCCTCTGCCAACCTGTAGGTTTACACGTGAGACCTGATGTCATGGTACATTTTGTCGTCCCAGGTGAGAACTAATGTTTCCTATATTACAACAGTTGTTGCCCTTCATCCCCTGGAAACAAAGAGAATGCAAAGAGACCTAACTGTCCTTGTGTCATGGATGGCAAAAGATTAATATGCAGGTACAGCAAGTAATTAGGAATGCGAATAGAATGTTACAATTTGTTGTGAGAGGAATTAATTGCAAAAGCATGGAGGTTATACATGAATTATACAGGGCACTGGTGAAGCCATATCAGGAATATTGTGTACAGTATTGGTCTCCTTATTTAAGGAAGGATGTAAATGTGTTGGGAGCACTTCAGGAAACATTTTCTGCACTAATAGCTGGAATGCAAGGCCTGGCCTAGGTGGAAAGGTTAGACAAGTTCCTTGAAGTTAATAAAGAGTAAGAGGTAACTCGATTGAAGTATAAGGCACTGAGAGAGTTTGAATGGGTAGATGTGGAGAGGATATTTCTTCGTTTGGCAAAATCTAGAACTAGGGTTTAAGAATCAGTGATTGTCCATTTACAACAGGGATGAGGTACAATCTTCTCAGGGGCTCACCAGTCTTTGGGAACTTTGTTTTCCTTGGAAAGGTGGTGGATGCAGAATCTTTGAATATGTTTAAAGCAAGAGTGGATAATTTTTTTAGTGAAAAGTTATGAGGGTAGACAGAAATGCGGATTTATAGTTACAATCAGACCAGCTATGATCTTATCAAATGGCGAGGCAGTTTCAGGGGCTAAATGGTCTATTTCAGTTCGATTTTGTGTTCTGTAAACAGGCTTGAGACACCTAGTGGTCACTGGCAAACACTGATTTAACTGCAGGCTTTCAGCTCTTTCCCGACTGTAACCTCCTTTTCCAAACAATTTCTTAAGGGAATCGCTGCCTGCTCTCTTTAAATACATTTCAGTGGGTTTGTTAATGCCACTGGGGAAAACAGTCATTCAGGTACAGTGCAAAACTAAATACATCATATGCCATTTGCCATCCCTCCCTAGGACAGCTAAATTCTTCATAGCTGCCTACAACTGACTCAAATTTGTATCCTTTTGTGTATCCTCCATTTCTAAACAATAAAGACTGAAAGTGAAGCACATATTGACCACAGAATATATGAAACAGTGGGTCCACTTATTGATATCTTAACGTAAAATAATGAACAGAACTGCAGAATCCAATTTCCAAAATACTCTAAAATTTCATATATACTAAAAATGGAAGAAACCAACAATAATGTGTGTATTTATTTTATAAATATATAAATATACATTAGTCTTGCCTTTAGTACACATATGCCAACCTCCTGACATAACATTGCTTAGTAAACAATCTTTTTTGAAAACAAAGAACCAGCTCTTGAAGTCTGGCATTTATACACAGTTTCCATTCTCCTCACAGCAGGTAACTGTTAATTGATGTGGGTCTGACTGTACTGAACATGCAGGTGGTGTGGCCTCAAAGTATCATAGGTCTGTCTTCACAGCAGAAAAATGCGACGCACTTTACATGTTCTAACACTTTGTCCTATTAAAACAGCATATCATCTGACTTACAATGAGGAAAGTGGCAGGGATGGCAAATACCATTAAATAATAGTCGGACAATAAGGTTATCATATACTGCTTCCCAAGAACTGGAGTCAGTGTGGTGAATCAAAGTTAAATCAGTGAGCCAAATGGAACTCATTTACATTTCTTTTTACCTTCTCACTTATATTGTGAATCACAACAACCTTCTAACCATGAAAACAAGTGTGTACTCAGAGTAATTGTAATAACATAGTATGAAATTTGATAAAAATAGACTGTACAGCTGCATTTATACTCAGTTGAGGAAGTTTAGACTGCTTAACTGTCACTTGTATTTCAGTTGCTGGATTTGTATACTGATGCAAAATGTTGAACTACATTATCTTCTTTGCAGTGAGTTTGCAATCTATGTCATGGTTCCCTTCTTGATGGTGATCCAAGTCTGGCATGTTCACCTCCCAGTCTGTAGGCCTCTCTCAGCATTAGACAGGGGTCTTTCATAAAACATGTCTCGGTCGTATTTAAAAGTTCCTTTTAACTCCCCCTGCCCCATCCTCAAAAGGGACTTGAAGGCATTGGTGCCATTGATGTTTTCCTTAAACCTGTACATGGATACCACAGTGTTCTTTTATTGGCCATTTGTTTCTTCTCAGTTTTCATAGTTTCATGTCACCCTCAGCCTCTGCTCTGTCCCTCCATGGAACACAGTTTCTCGTCTCTCTACATTCCTGATTGTACAGATTCGTTACTGAACCTCCCTGACACACTGTCATATCAGGCTATGGATAAAAATCCAACTTATCTCCTGTATTCCACTATTAAGGTGCAAATCACTTTTTCATTGAAGTTACCTTTTTGTGAGGAGTTTTCAGTTCTGAGTGGATAGTATGCCAAATTATCGACAATACAGTGCTGAAAAACTTGAGTTTAAGTCGTAAAAGCATTGACCCCATCTTCTGTTCCTGATAGCAGTGAATGTGTGCAACGTATTGATGACTGCAACAGAGCTGCAAGGTTCTGGGAGCTCACTCATGCTGAATCCAAACTTGCTGCTTGCCAGAAAGGGCTCACTGGTAGTCCAAGCTGATGATCCCACCAGGATCTTTATTGTTATTCATTCATGGGAATGTGGGCATTGCTAGCTGGGCCAGCATTTATTAGTCAGCAGCTAAGGAGACAGGGAGAAACCCAACTGGACATCAGACAGTAAGTTATTGCCAAGCAAATGCTTGATTGTGCTGTCGATGACATTTTCAGTGCTTTAATGACGATTGAGAGTAGATTGATGAGATAAGAATTGGCTGAGTTGCTTTCTGTATGAAGGACATAACTGGACAAGTTTTCATACATTCATGTAGACATTTGGTTAGGTGCCAACAAATTCTGGAGCACAAGTCTTCAGGGATATTCCCAGAATGTTGTCAGGGTCCATAGGCTTTGCAGTATCCATTGCCTCCAACCAGTACTTGATATCACGTTGAATGAATTGTATTGGCTGAAGACTTGTAACTGTATTGTGAGGATCTCTGGAAGGAGCTGAGATGAATCATTCACTTGGCACTTCCAGGTGAAGATTATTGCAAGTGCTTCAGCCTTATCTTTTACTCTGATGTGCTGGGCTCCCAGAGGATGGGGATATTTGTGAGGTTTCCCCTCTTGTATTTAATTGTTCACCATCATTCACAGCTGCAGTGCTTAGATCTGATCTGTTGGTTGTGCCTTTGAAGCTTATCACTTCTTATTAATGCTGTTTGGTAGTTTCACCAGATTAACATCTCATTTTTAGGTTTGACTGGTACTGTGCCTGGCATGCCCTCCTGCACTCTCCTTGAACCAGGTTGATCCCCTAGCTTGACGGTAATGGTTGAGTGGAGGATATGATGGACCATGAAGTTGCAGTTTGTGCTGGAGTACAATTTTGCTGCCGTTAATGGCCCACAGCACCTCAAGGATACCCAGTCTTGAGTCGGTAGATCTGTTTACATTTTATCCTATTTATTGCAGTGAGCTGTGACACATGATGGAGGGTATCCTCAATGTGAAGACAGGGCTTCATTTCTACAAGGGCTGTGCGGTGGTCATTTTCACTGATACTGTCATGGACACATGCATCTGTGGCAGGCCAGTTGATAAGGATGGGGCTAAGTATGCTTTTCACTCTTGTTGCTTCCCTTACCACAACGACCAGCTTGGCTAGTGGTAGTGCTGTCAAGATACTCTTGGTGATGGACATTGAAGTCACCCAGTCAGAATACATTCTGCTCTCTTGCCACCCTCACTACTTGCACGGTGTCATCAGCAGTACATGGTAAACAATGAGAGGTTTCCTTACACATCTTTAACCTGATGCCATGAGACCTCATGGGGTTTAGAGGCAATGTTCAGTACTCCCAAGGCAACTCTCCATTTGTATACCACCGTGCTGCCCCCTCTGCTGGGTCTGTCCTATACTGGGGACAGAATATTGATGGATCATTGTATATGAGGCATGAATTCAGTGAGTATGACAATATCAGACTGTTGCGCCACTAGTTTGGGAGACAACTCCCCTAGTTTTGGCACTAGCCAAATATTAACAATAGGGGCTTTGCAGGGTAGACAGGTTGAAAGGACTGAGATTGCTGTTGTCATTTCCAGTGTCTAGGACAATGCCAGTGGCCACATCTGATTTCATGCCTTTTTTTGAGACTTTCCAGCAGTTGATATAGTCTAGTCATTTCAGAAGGCAGTTGCGAATCGTCATATTGCTGTGAATCTGGAGTCACCAGACCAGGGAAGGAAGGTAGTTTTATTTTCCCTCAAGGACATGAGTGAGCCAGATGGCTTTTTTACATTTCACAGTCATCTTTAAACTTTTAATTCCAATTTTTGTTGAATTTAAAATTCTACCATCTGTCGCGCTCAGATTTGAACCCAAGTCCCCAGAAAATTTCCTGGGTCCCTAGAACGCTAGTCCAGCACCTCCTACACTGTCGTTTTGATTGCTGGTGTGTAAAGCTGGGCTATCTGCTATGGACAAACTGTGCCTAGAGAAAATGCTGAGTGAGCAAACCAAGGAGGGCGGGTGAGTGATGGAGATACACTGGCGAGCAAAGATAGGGAGGCAATGAGTGGTGAACAGGGCCAGGATGGGGTGGTGGTGATAGCGGCTGGAGTTAAAAGCTGAATGAAGGAACCCTTGCAAACGCACATTAAACACAGTACCTACAAGAACAGTGGAGCAATGCTGGACCTCATGGGTGTGCCTTCCTCAATGATTTTAAAGGGGGTGCATCTTTTCATGTTATGCGCTTTGCCATTATTTCTCCCAAATTTGTTCAAGAAATAGTCCATGCTGAAACAAAGTCCCAACTACTCCATTGCAGAAGGTAACAGCACTTATCAATGCAATCTGCCACTGCCTTTCCATTGACTGAAGGCCACTAACTCACTTCATAAATCTCTACAAATCCAATGCATGCCAATATGGCACCTCTGTCAATTCATTAATTTATTCTTTTATGATATTTTGAGTGAATATATTTTGAGAAAGTTAACGAATGGGATCTTTTTTCATTCATTCACTCACAGGATGTGGGGCACTCTGATTAGGCCATCATTTATTGCCCATCCCTAATTGCCCAGCAGGCAGTTAAGAGTCAACCACATTGTTGTCAGTCTGGAGACACATGTAGGCCAGACGAGGATGGCAGATTCCCTTCCCTAAAGGGCATTAGTGGACCAGATTGTTTTTTTTTCCCCTGACAATTGACAATGGTTTCACGGTCATCATTAGATACCTAATTCAAGATTCCATGGCAGGATTTGAACCCGAGTCCTCAGAACATTAGCTGAGTTTCTGAATTAATGGTCTAGTGATAATACCACTAGGCCATTGCCTCCCTATGTTTGTCATGTTCTACCTATGTTAGAAGAAAGTCTTTCTGCTTCAAAATTCGTGGTCAGATGCAAAGGAATGCTTCCCCTCACTTAGTTGTGCCTGTTTAAGTATATTCTTCTTTACGTCAGTGGAAGACACAAAGGAGAAATTGAATTCATGGAAATTATATGGAGTAAAGAATTGAGATCAGTCCCACTGTAACCAAACTGAGTGATTTTAAAAAAAGATGTAATCTGATAGTGTTACATAAAGCGATATAAGAAGAAAATTCTTAAGACGATTGAAATTCAACTAAGGGGTGAGGAAAAGGTGCATGTGTTTAAATTAGCATAGGAAGGAAGGTCGTGTGAAGTAATCAGAAAATTAAATAAACAACTGGGAAGTTTAACACAAACTAAACTGTCGGCTTAGAGATCTCCTCCTTTCTGGGAATAATCAGCTAAAATTGGCCTGTTGCCTCCTTGATATAACTTAAGATCTCCAAGAGAAAAGTGAAGAGAAGTGGAAAGGTCCTAGCTGCCAATTGGGCAAGTGATCAACAATCATTCTTCCCTCTTTTTTTGACCGTACAGTAAAGAACCAGGCCCGGTGGGTGCAGCAGTTCATTATGGATATGGAAGACCTCTACAAGGCAACAAAGGATGAAAGCTTCAACATTATCATCATTGACTTTGACAGTAGTGACATGGATGTGGAACAGACCTTGAAGAACAGCAAACTGCCTCGGTACGGTAAGATATTGGTAAATTTGACTGGGACTGTCTTGATTGTTTGTTATGCACTTACTTTCATGAATGAGAAAAAGGAACCATGCATCATTTCAGTCTTAATGATAGCCTGGAGAATTAGCCAGCCGACGCATCTGATAGAAGCAGTTTCTGTCCTTGCACAAACTAAAAACGCATCACCTCTTAAAATGGGATAACAAGGTGTAGAGCTGGATGAACACAGCAGGCCAAGCAGCATCAGAGGACCTGAGTGAAATTTTCTGAAGAAGGGTCCAGACCCGAAACGTTAGTTTTCCTGCTCCTCTGATGCTGCTTGGCCTGCTGTGTTCATCCAGCTCTACACCTTGTTATCTCAGATTCTCCAGCATCGGCAGTTCCTACTATCTCTGAACCTTTTAAAGTGGAATGCCTGATACTTTGTGAGATAATCATGCACCCAAGGTAAAATAAGCTTTAGCCCTATTTACTCTAGTCACCAGTGATTGGCCTCTATGAATTAAACTGGACTTTGACTGTTATCCTTCCTAACTTTGATGATGAACAAGGGGGTGAACAGTGAAATGCATGTTGGTACAAGCAATGGCAATGTGACCAGTGCAAGGCCTTGCTGGGTTGGTCGAGGTGCATGTCACGTTTTTCTATGGTCATTGATTTCATCACTTTGACTGCTACAATGACTTGGAAAATAGGCTTCCTCTTGACTGACTCAAAATAACTAGTGTGGTAATTGTGAGATTGTGTACCGTTGGTGAGCTCAACAGAATTTTGAAGGAAGGACATGAACTGTGTAGCAAGTCATTAAACCTTTACCATTGAGATTACAATTTTATTCAAAAAATCCTTTTAAAAATTCAAGATAATTACCTTTCACTTTTGGAGTGGATTTAAAACCTTAAGAAATAGGAGCGGAAGTAGGCATTTGGCCCTTTGAACTTACTTTGCCATTCAGTGTCATTATGGCTGGTCCTCTACCTAAACTTGTGAAAACCATCACAAATTAACCTTAACAATAAACTGTCTAACTGTTGCAGCCTGATGTCGCCAGCGAAGTAAGACAGCCCTGAAACTTGTTTCAGTAGCGCACCATGAATTTTAAAACACAAATTTGAATTTCTTTCTTCTGACTTGTGATGTTCGGCAGATCTGACTGAGCTAACTTGAAATGGCAAGTTAAAAACACCAGTTCTATTCATGATTCATTTCACAGAACCTTGCATCTGCAGAGTCAAAGGGTTGCAAACTTGCAGGGTTACCTTTTGGAAAAATCTCCCTATTCTTGACCAAAGAAAACTAATATATGCTGCAGCAAGAGACCCTCAGATGACTCCAGTACTTTCTCCATCATCAAAGACAGTTGACAGCAGTTCCAGTGCCCATCTTATACCAGCCTTTATTTTGAAGTTTGTTAATAGGATTAAGTTGTTTGACCAGCAATTCATTCAGACTGTTATCTTCTGCTTCATTGATAGCAGTTGTACAGACAAGGTTTAAGGAATATTCAGATAAGCCTCTGAGGTGTGCTGTGAGGAAATGATGACAGACTGTGGCACAGACTCTGCTAGAAGGTTGGATCTAGAGTAGCTTAGAACAGGGAGGTACACTACAAGATCATCATACATAATAAGTAAATAGATGCCATTTGAAGAAACAACTTGGGGGAGTTGGTGGTCTAACATGAACAAAAGGGCAGTATCCTTCTGACCACATTACTGATTATACTGTCCAGGAAAATCTTCAGCATCCCCAAGACTCTTCTTTCAATCCAGTCACTACCATGAGCCAGGCAATGACTGATTTTGTTTGGTATTCAGATGGTTAAAACACTCCACAGTGCAACTTTGCTGCACTGCATGTGAACTGCAAGCTTCTGACAATTTAGGCAGGCTTACCTTAGATTCTTAGGCTACCAGAATAACGTCTGAAATTCATCCTTGAAAATTGAATGAATGCTGGTAAGTTGCAATAGAGTTAATGCAAGGGCCAGTGTTCTTGAAACTCCAAATAATTGCCAAATTTTTGAACCACTGCTGTCCTGGTATGAAGATGCTCCTATAGTTTTTAAATAGAGGTTTCTAGGATTTTGATCCCCCAGACAGGAAGGAATGACAATATATATCCACATCAGGATAATGACTTGGAGAGAAATCTGAAGATGATGATCCATACATCGTCTCTCTTCTAAATGATAATGGTTGGAAGTTAAGTGGTACTGTAACATTACATTGTACCTTCCATACATTGAAACTGCATGACTGTTTTAATGAATGGAACTATGATAGCTAAAAATTTAGTGAAATATACTTGACAATTATTAGTACAAAGAAGTTGCAACATTCCATTCAGACAAGCCATATTGTGTCAACACTTAGTCTCCACGTGAAAAAATAGCTCCACTTACAGGCTCCCATTCTCACTCCAGCTACCTATCGAATATAATCTTAAATGTCAACCTAATTTCTGTCTCGATCAACTTTCTGCTGCTCTCTGTTTAAACCTTCTTGATCTTGCATCCGTACCTGCTCACACTTGAAGTCTCCACTAGTGGAAGCAAATCGACTAAAGAAAACTTAAATGTTCAGCAATCCCAGAGTTTAATCAAGCTCATTTAAATGGGCAGCAAACTCAGCACATTCTGAGTATCTTAATTTTCCAAGAACAGCTCCATCAACTGTTCCAAGCACAGTTCCCCTAACAGAGTGAAATCTCTCAATGCCTCTATCCAAAGCCAACATGCAGTTTCCTTGTTTGGTACTTTAGGGCTGATTTTAACAATGTCACTGCCAGGGTGGGACTTCTAAGAAATGGCGAATTGCTTTGGATTTCCTAAAATGTGCTCATTACCAGCGAAGTTTTGCAGAGGAACGGCTCTCTGCGTTCCCCACTGATACAATTTTGTAAAATTATCCCTACTTGCACCAACAAGCAGGGTAATCAAAGGTAGCATCAGCACAATTAGTCCTAAATCCTTCATGTGAAATGCATTCAAGTGCTTAAGCTTTGTAAAATGGGAGAGGAATGCAATAAATAGAGCACCCAGTGAGATACAGCTAACTAGGCCTCATTGTGTTGACCCAACCTGGTTTGTTCATAGAAAGAACATCATGCAGAATTCCCTCTCAGGAAGAATACATTCTCTTTGCATGATAAACAAATCATGTGTAAACCTAGTTTATGATTTGGCTACATATTACACACACGGGAGATCCTGAGCCTCAAATAACAATAAACACAAGCATTTATATAGGACTGTTAACATAGAAAAGAAGTTCCAAGATCTTTCATATGAATATAATGAAATGAAGATTGAGCTGGAATCAAAAAGGGAAAAATTAGAAGGGATAACTAATAGCTTGGTCATACCTTCATAGAATCATACAGCACGGAAACAGACCCTTCAATCCAACCAGTCCATGCCAACCATAATCCCAAACTAATCTAGTCCCACTTGCCCTGCTCCTGGCCCATATCACTCCAAACCTTTTTCCATTCATGTATTTATCTAAGTGATTAAGGAGTTTACGGAGAACAGAGGTCCTCAGGCACAGGTTCAGCTTGGGAACACACGCATCCTTTCTGTCATTGTTTGACAGAGGTTTGGGGGAAAATCCCAGGGTGATTTGAGGCGTGAAGAGGCGTGGATTTTGGGAAGCTCAAGAATTTGTTAAATGTAGCATCCTTGTACATAGGAACATGGGAACAGCAGTAAGCCATTCAAATCACTGAGCTTTTACTCCATAGATCGTGGTCTAATTATCCATCTCAATGTCATGTTACCGCACTATCCCTTGATTTCATTAATAACCATAAATCTATCAATCTCTGTATTGAGCTTACTTAATGACTGAGCTTCCATGGTCTTTGGGGTAGAGAAATCCAAATATTGACCACTCTCTGAAAGAGAGAATTTTTAAAGGCAAAGTGAAGAATAAGCCTATGGGGTGATTTGAACGTGAAGATATGAATTTTAAATTGGATGACTGGAAGGCAAAGTGAATCAGTGAGCAGCTGGGTGGAGAAAAGTAAGATCTGGTACAGGTTTGGACAAATGCGAGTACGCGAACAACGACAGAAAGGATGTGTGTGTCCCCAAGCTGAACTTGTGCCATCCTGCAAGCATGCATCCATGATATATATACCATTTGTTATTTTTTTGTGTACAGAATGTTTCTGCTCAAACTTTTTGCTCTGTCAGCCCTTGTCTGCTTGTCATTCCTCTCACTGTCATTCCACTGGAAGGAGCACATGCTCCAAAATATCTTCCCTAAACTCCTCCACCTCTCAGCCTCCCTCTCCTCCAATGAAGCACAGGTATTAGATCAGGAATTTCCACATCTCTTCAAATATCTACTTCTTTGGTCAAGTTTCTGTAATATTAAATACACTTTTTATGAGTAAGTTGTTTTATTTGTTATAATCTTGCTTTAGTAGAGTCACTTTAAGTGCATGGTCCCTTGTGTTGAATTTCATTGCACACCAAAGGAGATGTTGAACTGAAAACAGATGTTCGTTTTTGACACAAAGAGTTATTTGCACCCTACAATCACGAAAAATACTTGAGAATTGTTCAGTGGTGATTTAGTCTGCAAGTTGCAGAAAATAAAGAGATGTTTGAAAAGTTGTGGGTATTACATCGCAACATAGTGAGATGTGATACCTAAATTCACAACCTAGAGGCCTGGCCACTATAAATGAAAATATGAAATCCAAATTTGGCCCCCATCTCAGGGTAAGAAAGAGTTGACCTCATTCTGTTGCTCAGAATTTAGACAGGGGGCTAAGATTGATCATTCATCCAGCTGATTTGACGGCACGGTAGCTCAGTGGTTAGCACTGCTGCCTCACAGCGCCAGGGACCCGGGTTTGATTCCAGCCTTGGGTGACTGTCTGTGTGGAGTTTGCACATTCTGCCTGTGTCTGCGGCGTTTCCTCTGGGTATTCTGGTTTTCTCCCACACTCCAAAGATGTGCAGGTTATTGGCCATGGGGAACTGTTGGGTGA